TACCATAAAAACTATCAGGTCTGTGCAGTGTCGTATGACATCTATGTACCAAGTTTCATTGAAATGTGATGATTAGTACTTGAGATATCAGTGGAAAAACCGAAAATTGACTAATCATTATGCAAATTAGGTAATTAGTATCCACGGATTATTACCAAAAACTAATCAAAACCTAGCATTAGTTCAGAGCATCTATGTACCAAGTTTCATCAAAATCCAATGAGTGGTTGTTTAGATATCAGTGGAACAGTCATGGAACCACTAAAAAATAGCTAATTATCATGCAAATTAGGTAATTAATATGCACGGATTTTTACCAAAAATTAATCAAATCTGCGCATATGTTCAGAGCATCTATGTACCAAGTTTCATCAAAATCCAATGAGTGGTTCTTTAGATATCAGTGGAACAGTCATAGAACAGCTAAAAAATAGCTAATTATCATGCAAATTAGGTAATTAACGAGCATGGATTTTTACCAAAACCTAATCAAATCTGCGCATTGGCCCAGAGCATCTATGCACCAAGTTTCATCAAAAACCGATGTATGGTTCTTGAGATAGCAGTGGAACAGTCGGACACACATACACACATACACACATACACACATACACACATACACACATACAGACACACTAACTGCAAAGACTCCCATTTTGTGCTTCGCACATGGGAGTCAAAAACACATCATTCATGTAATACTTTAGATGAAATCGAGTGCATTCACTGTAAGAGCACCATTTAACTTGTATCGCTTTTGTACAGTTGATATTGTTGTGTGAATGGAATACAATGACGTGAACAATGGCACTGTTGTCGTCTCCCGGGGAAAGCTTGACCTGTGTCACATGATCAAAACTGGTTGCTATTCGCAGGGAGCAGAATATGGCTTATACCCTGGAATCAACCAAACAGAGTAATGACAGATGGAATATTTGGATCTATTATCTTTTAAAGAAAAATACATTTTAAATTCCATCTCACCTATTTGCTGACTTGTTTCCTGGTGAACCACCTAACAGTCTTCGTAAATTAGCATTTTCTTCTTTGAGTATTAAAACTTCTCTGGGAAGAAAAAAAAGAAAAAGTTGTGATACATGACAAGAATTACTTTCAGATCTACATCAGTGCAATGAATAGATGTACTATAGTCCACTCTGATTATCAGGACAACAGCAAAGCAGATATTTCTTGCCCTGCTGTCACTCAGATTGTCAGGACAACAGCAAAGCAGCTACTTTTTGCCCTGTTGTCACCCAGATTATTAGGACAACAGCAGAGCAGCTACTTTTTTCCCTGTTGTTTCTCAGATTATCAGGACAACAGCAGAGCAGTTATTTTTTGCCCTGCTGTCACTCAGATTATCAGAACAGCAGAGCAGTTATTTTTTGCCCTGCTGTCACTCAGATTATCAGGACAACAGCAGAGCAATTATTTCTTGCCCTGCTGTCAATCAGATTATCAGGACAACAGCAAAGCAGTTATTTCTTGCCCTGCTGTTGCTTAGATTATTGGGACAACAGCAGAGCAGTTATTTCTTGCTCTGCTGTCAATCAGATTATCAGGACAACAGCAGAGCAATTATTTCTTGCCCTGCTGTCAATCAGATTATCAGGACAACAGCAAAGCAGTTATTTCTTGCCCTGCTGTTGCTTAGATTATCGGGACAACAGCAGAGCAGTTATTTCTTGCCCTGCTATCTCTCAGATTATCAGAACAACACCAACAGGTGCATGTTCCACTTCTACACTGTTGAACTGTTGTAGTTGTTACATTTATAAAAGTACACATGTTACATAATTGGTATTTCAAAGGTTTCAAACAAACATAAGTGGAGAAAACATCAAACAATTGTATTTTTATAGCTCTATGTCAAAATGCTGATCTTCAAGAGGAGAATATTTCATTGAAATACCCTTGGGCCTAACTGGACAGTGTGAATTTGAGATATAAGCAGAATTGTGCAAAACAAATCCCATAAATTGCAGATTTTCATCTGCATTTCATTTTCATGCCAGTTGGTATCTTACATTGGATAGCAAAAAAGATCAACTATATTCCATAGTATAAATATGAGCAGACAAATTTGATCTAACAAAATGGCTGCCAGTTGGCCATCCATAAACTTTCAGATTGTGTCAGGAGCTAAAAAGATTAATAAAAATAAAATATCTAGGGTTTTTTGAGGGAAAAATACATCTTGATTACAATCACACCTGCTAGCTAACTTGTTTCCTGGGGAACCACCTCCTAAAAGTCTTCGTAAATTAGCATTTTCTTCTTTGAGAATTAAAATTTCTCTGGGAAGGAGAAACAAAAGACATAATGATATATTAAAATCAGATACACTTCATGAATTATCAGTTTCCATTGTGAATCTTATAAAGCTTTAAGTTTAAACTTTTCAAAGACTAAAAAAAAAAAGATTAATTCATTGTCCCACAGAGGCAGATTTGAAATGGGATTCATGCAGACAGTTGAATGATTATTGAAAATGTCCATCATTCAACAAAACACAATGGAATTTAAAATCATGTGTGTATGTGTTAAGCTTCTAATAGGCCAAATAGAATAATATTTTATAGAAGACTACAATAACAAGTCTCATATTCTCACATTTTAGACCATTTCATGGATTTTTCATGACCAATCACAGGTCATTTGCATGGCTGAAGTGTCAAAAATGGTGTTTTCAACAGTTGGAATAGTAAAAAAAGGCCATCATTAATTCCTCAGACAAACATGTACATGTGCTACTGCATATAATCAGTTACTGTGAAATTTTTTTATTTTCGCTGAAGGAATGATTCAGGGAAAATAAAATCCAGCGAATATACCTTTTTCCTATATTTTACATTCAACTTGTCAAAAATCAGTGAAAATAAATTCCATACAAAACACCCCAAAATCTTTTCAGTAAAACTTAATTCTAGCTAAAATGAAGTATTTTACAGTATTTATACCTTTCTAAATCTTCCCATTGTTCTGTCTTCTTCCTGGCTTCTTCTATTAGGGCTTTCTGTTTATTATTCTGTCAGAGATAACTCAATATTATTCACATAGAATAGTTTTAATGCCTTAATTCCACCAGGAATGACATGAACAAACTATTAAAAGAAGGCTTGTATATACAGTGTTTCAAAGATCAAAGTCTTATTATCTATTTACTGGTACAAGAAATAAGATTTGAGCAAGCCATTGATAATATAAGTTCCTTCTCTCCATCTACTAATATGACAAATGGTCAGAATGTATATGCCCCTTTTTGTAAAAGTGTATCAATTCTAACACTGTTAACAGGAAAGAGTCACTTAACATGTACAAATGTAGAATATCTATGTTGGAAAATGTAAAGAAAAATGACTACCAGATGGCCTTATTGGATTGGATTTTGACAATTTTGTTGGTGTTCTAGAACACAATCGTCTGTGATTTGACCATCTGGGATAGGATTGCAGGAAAAATCAACTTGCATCTTTGTACTTGGTGATTGCATTCTCAAGTTAGAAGCAAAAATGCCCCAAAATAAGTATTTTTGTCAGACAAAATGGCTGTCAATTTAAAAAAAAATCAAAGAATCTTCCAAGGCATATTGCAATGTTCCAAAGGAAATAAATAGAAAGTTTGCAGTTTTCATGATCAGTTTATTTTGGTACCCGCTGTAAAGTGTGCAGCACAACCTGCTTTCCTGTAATCTACCCAAACTTTAGTGATTTACCCTGCAATAACTGTATAATAAGTGCATTAATTTTATTACCTTCTCTTTCATGTGAGTGATTAATCTTTGTCTGTGATTTTTTTGAAAGTCCATGACCTTGTAGAGAAAAAATGAAAATGACACTAGTTGCTGATATCGCTAAAAGTAGACCAATAATGTATATAATTAAATTGTAGTATATCGCAGCGATAAACAGTCAAACCTATCGGTACTTGAAGAAATTTTCCATTTTCGACAGGTGGTTTTATATGGAGGTTGATATGTTATGAATAACAACATGACAATAACTTCTCAGTTAAGGGCAATTTGTCACCAGATACTTGAAGGTTAAGAATAAAAAACTATATGCTTGTTTGTCTTGATTAAATTCAAAATGTCAGTTTAGAGACTAGTTCTAAACACTAAACATGTAATCATCTGCCATCATTTTGGCTTTTTTGACCAACTTGTGCCCAAAGATAGTCACTATGGCTGCTTTGGTCATTAACACAGGTTTGACTATAGTATGGTGTGATATGGAATATATCTTATAATTAAAAAGTATAACATAGTTTGATTACAAATGTTTTTGAAAATTGGAGAAAGGCTAATACTTGGTTTAGTTGACTTTGCTGTTTTTTTATTATGTCAGCTGGATCCTTGAAAAAAATTTCCACATCTGGTTTCATCTGCAAAAAAACAACACATGCTATTGAAAACTTGACATGACAACTCATCATACATGTAGGAATCACAACAGTCAACAGTATTTGAAGTATATCATTTATTTGCATATGTATAAAATTATGAGTGATGAATTTATTGTAGAGTGTCATAGACATAGAGGATGATCATGTAAATTGTCTATGGTTCAATTCGCCATATATCAGATGATTTTGCTTTTTTCATAAAAACTTGTAATTTGTATTAATACATGTACTTAAAACTCTTAATGTTAATGTAATTGTTGTACACAAAAACTACTTGACATGTATGAAAATGTTTCTGCTGACTGTAATTTGGTATACTAGATAACATACGGGAAAGATGGTTACAGCAAAGGTGGCAGAACTAAATGCCCTATACAGAATAGGACAATCATACATGCCATCTTTATTAACTTTTTGATGTTTTTTAAGCAGAATAAAATACATATGACATATTCAAATTAGGTGTAAAATAATAAATACTGTAAAATCTGTATTAAAAGCTGCGGCTTTTATTAAAATGGTACAATGCAACAGAGGGAATGTGGCTTCTACTAGAGCATCTACACATATGAGAAATGGTGTATTTTTGGTACTCAATTGTTCAAAAAGAATGGGTGCGGCTTCTATTAGGAATGTGGCTTCTAATACAGATTTTACATCGTGCCGTAATTTTACGGTACTGCACTGGGTATTTGCATCCTACCATATTAGGAACACGAATTCCAAATATGGAAGATTACGCACGTAAGCATCCTCTAATAATACAAACAAAAATGGCAGCCCACAGTTCACTAAATCTGTTCTAAACGTTTTGGATTTCAGCTTTCCCATGATGTATTCCTGGGAGGAAAAGATGTATAGTAATACGGTTATTATGGGGATACTGCAAAGTATGCACTAAGACAGTACATGGTCACATCAACCTTCGCTGCAAGTCGGCTAAAGCTCTCGCTGTACTGTCTTTGTGCATACCAGGTATTTTGCGACATCCTCATAATAACCTATTAGTAACCATCTGCATTGAAATTATATTCTCCTTAGGATTTTGATTGCTGTAATAAGTTATATTGAATATGAAAAATCACAAAAAAGACAACAACAAACGAACATGTAAAATGTAATGTTAAATAACAATAATTTTATCATGTTAGCAATTTACCTGAGAAGACAGAGCAATTGATGAACAGGGATTTCCACACATCATGCACTTATTCCTTGTTCCTTTTGTACAAAAAACAAAACAAAAGCAGATGAACATACATTATGATAAACCTTTTCAAACACTTTCACAAACATATGACAAGAATAAGATTAGGTCGTCCCTTTGTACTAATTTTTAATCAAATCATGTAAAAAATATTATCGCATCGGAAACCCAGCATGTGTGATCTTTGAACAAAATACATCAGGATTTTAATTTGTGGACCACAATACAAAATAGTATAATTCAAGTAAAATAAACATTGTGATGCAGATAGAGACTAGGATAACTGTTAAATTATACATACCTTCTTTAACACACGTTTCACAATACATATGACCACAGTTAGTTAAAAAGAATTTTCTACCATCTCCAGGCTGATGAAAACATGTATTACAGTGTACCCAATCAGCCATAACTTTCACCAGATACTCAGTACCTGCAATGTTCATTAATATCTTTAACGATGTAAAAAGTTGTTTTTTTATAGCCAACTTTTTTGATTTGCAGAGTTATGAGCAGTTTATATTGACCGATGCAATAACATAGGAACATTTTAATGATGATGTCATTGCGCACGGCGCTATAGGATTGTTTTTTTGGATTCAATCGCCATTGAAATATATAAATATCGATAAAATAGAAGGGAACAGGTTTGTTGTGTCGATAGTAGCATGTTCAGCTCACTGTAGAAGTAAATCTATTTTACCTTCACTAAACTATTAGACAGGCAATTTTATTCTGATATCAGCATAGTACATGTATATATCTCAGACTACTCTATTCAACTACTATTCTCCGTCTAATCTTCCATTTAAAAAAATAATTAAGCCACGAAAGTCTGAATAAATGCAGGTATCAACGTATACCGGGTCATATTGCTACACGGTATCCGTTTCGATAGTAGGAGAAATCATAGCCAGCGGAACGGCATTAAGCATTATGGAACTGAAAAAATACTATGCGATCACTGATTATTACGAATCGTCAATTGAGAAACATTTTCCGGTCATGAAAAAACAATCTCCTACAATTCATATTGTGATAAATAACACTGAATATCGAAAATGACTTAAATAATAATGTTTTACCTAAATTTCTACTCAGAATGAAGCAGAATACACTTTCAACCTGCCGCCATTTTAGAACCGTACCGACGAAACTTTTTGAAGTCTCATACACTGCGAGACGAGACTTCGCGATTTCGCGACAGGGGCCATTTTGCTGTCAGATTCTCACGTGTGTTGTGTTATTTCACCGGTAAGTGACATATTTCATCATTTAGAGGCAACCCCGCCTACTCTAAAAATAGAATCCAGTCTCTCCCGACTAGCTAATCAGGTTCTGAGTGCACAATCCACTACCCCGATCGTCTCGATTTAGTTCAAGGTGTGTATAATCGTTTTATAATTTTTCAATGGGTTGCATCATTCGGCTAGTATTTAAACATACTCAGAACGTGTATTGTAATAGGAATCTCACGTAGTAGAGGGAACACCCAGGTTTCGCACTAAAACGTATGCGAATTGCGTTAAGGTAGGCTTAAAGTTGTGGATATATAAAGTTACTGAGCTGTGGTTTTGTGGGTCCCTGCAGGTTCTTATGTTAGCAGTTAAGGTATTACGTAACGGCCATGGTCAGCTGGTGCGTGTATAATCAATACCCATTTACTACACGTCGCCGTATTGTTCATACATCAGCAAACTCAGTCACTGCCTATAACCCTGTCAGTGGCAAAACCACAACTTATTAAAACAATATTTTAAGAGGCAATGAATGTGAATATATTTTACTATTTTTCAGAATTCTTAAAGGGCTATGGGTTTAATAAGTTGTCTTATTTGATATGGGACTCATAGCAACATAATTATGTGCGATATTTCATCTTCAACAATATACTGTAAAATTTTCGTTCGTAATTGATTTTCGCTGAAGGAATGATTCAGTGAAAATAAAATTCAGGGAATATACCTGTTTTCCTATATTTTACATTCAACTTTTCCAAAATCAGTAAAAATAAATTTCATACAAAACACCCAAAAAGTCTTTTCAGCGAAAATTAATTCAAGCTAAAATAAAGTATTTTACAGTAGTACGATTTATATTAAAGTAAAAAAATGTTGTTTCGGCAGTAAACATATCGGTATATGTTTGACGACATGTTGGAAAACACTATGTGCATCTAACATGAATTTGAAAGGCATGTGCAGCAGCATTTTCCTATTCTAATCAAAAGTATACTGCTATTTTTACTGCGAAACAATGTTTTATTTTTCTTATTATTAATCATACCATATCGTTTTTTTCAATATAAGTAAGTATTATAAAAAAAGTTATTTAAGGCACAGTGGTCGTCACACCACACATGTGCAAGGTATGGATCTCATAAGAACAAAGATGGCAAGCACACACTGAGACATTACTAAGTAACTAACTAATTTCTTTGGTGATTGAAAGGTATCGAAGGAGTCATCGACGGTAGTGCAAGTCACGGCAAGGTCAAAACACATACTCGCGATTTCCATCGGAAGAACGCATTAGATTGTGGGAATACACAAATGTTACACATGCTCGACTTGATGACTATAAACGCCCTTCAAACATCGTCAAAAAAACACTCAAAGTTGTCTTTAATACAAGGATAACAAATTAAAACTGTATAGAAAATTCAAAACAAGATTCAGCGTAGAAAAATTACAAACTGTGTTTCAAAAACTTTAGATCAGTTACTGACCAGACTGTTAATTGAATTGGGCATACCAGATCATCTACCCTGGTATAATTATTTGACTCTCTATTCAGTTATACAGTTTTATAATTAGACTGTATTTTACATATGTTGTATATGGGACCAATCTAGTATGACTTAATACCGATAAGCTTTAAATTCCGTGTTGGGAGAATATTACCAATAAGTACTTTTTTGATAAATCAAATAATCTAGTTATATTTCTTTTCAGGTTTTAAAGATGGATCTCACTGGGAAGGGTATTCGTCAAGGATTCATTGACTTCTTTAGGAATAAAAAAGGTTTAGAGCATGAATTTGTTCCGTCTAACTCTGTTGTCCCATTAGACGATCCTACACTATTATTTACCAATGCTGGCATGAATCAGGTAAGTCATTGTCTGAACAACATTGTGAAATGAAAAACTTTATTAGTTTTCGGTCTCTAATAATTTGTGCACTCAATGTATTTTTTTTAAAAAACTGGTTACTGGTATTACTGTCATCGTCATATTGTCCTGAACAGCAAAATAACAACAGCAACTGGTTTGCTATGCACGTCTGGAGATCGTTAGAACAAAGTTATCAAAATAAAATGTATGTACTGACACAGTACGAAATGTCAGAGCACAGGCGCTGGTGTGTCTTATGCGTGGCATAAAGCCTGTAAATGAATGCATTTCGACAAACAGCGTACTCTTGTAAAAGTGGTTGGAACTAACCAGTTCCAATCATGTAATGATTTTAAGACGTGCATAAGAAACCAGTCAGCAACTTAGCTGGCAATGTTGTTGTTTTGGTGTTCAGGATAATATGGCGATGACAGTAAATTATTTTTTTAATTTGCGATGTTCAAAAATTTGTTATATATTTTGCACTGAACATCTTCTGTCCATATTCTGGCTGATGTAGAAGAACTGTATCTAATGCATACTTGGGTGGATTTCTTTCAAATTACTTACTTACATCATAGACCTTAGGTCTACGCTTACATAGATGAATCTCCAGAGCCTGTATCAGACTAAGCCATTTCATGTCTTGACTGATTTCATCCACCTAGTACATTTCATAACACAGCTACATTCCTTGCACGGTAATATTCTTTTTTTTCTTGATTACAGTTCAAACCAATCTTCCAAGGGGTAGTGGACCCCAACAGTGATATGGCCAAATGGGTGCGTGTGGCCAACAGTCAGAAATGTATCCGTGCCGGTGGAAAACACAACGACTTGGATGATGTCGGTAAGGATGTCTATCATCACACGTTCTTTGAAATGCTGGGTAATTGGTCGTTTGGAGACTACTTCAAAGTAAGTAATTGTTAAATTATATACAGATATCATATCTGCCACTATCACCATGGCAACAACTTATAGAATACAGTGCTAGAATTCATTAAAGAGTGGTGTTCGCTGTGAGTGCGATGAAATTTAGCGTAAATGAATAAACACATTGGATATCTACGTGTGTATGTTGCTGCCCATACCATACTTGTACAGTAATATAAAGACCATCTTTAAATCTACTGGAAATTTGATTCCACATATGCAAGTATTATTATAATTTAAAATCCCTGAATGTGTTTTTGTATAGAAAGAAGTCTGTGAAATGGCGTGGGAGTTGTTAACAGACGTCTGGAAGCTTCCAAAGGAGAGACTGTATGTGACATATTTTGGTGGCGATGAAAAAATGGGATTAGGTCCGGATGAGGAATGCAAACAAATATGGATTGATATTGGGTAAGTTGAATACCGTAAACCAATTTAATTTTATAAAACATAAAGTTAGTCATAATTTTGTACTCTTGAATGCAATTGAACCAAATTCTTATCAATGACAAGTGATCCTGTAGTTCACAGTGTGTTTTAAAGGTCGTAGTTTACTATGGGTTGGTAAAACACAGGGATGTTTCAAAAAATCAAGGATTCTGTACTTCTATCGCGGGTATTTATTGCCGATCAGATTTTTCGTAGATTTATCAGTTCTTATCTTTTGTAACCATTTTTATTACTTTAAAAATATGAAAGTCGAAAAACGGTTACTGTTATTGCTCTATTAGTATATGTGTGGTGTGCTTATTTTGATACTTAAAGGTGCTTCTCTTTCAAAAATAAGGAATATTTCAATTATTCATTATTCAGCAAATGTTTTTTGTTTTGTTTATATGTGCTTTTATCAAAAGATAAGCTTCTAATAGAGCAAATATGGTAGATGTTATTAGTGCTGTTGTTATATGCGTATGTTTATTTCGCTACTGTGAGATCAGATTTAATTCAACTCAACAATGAGGGCGCTGTTATAAAAGCTGCTATGTTCTATTATAATAGTACCGTTAAAATCCTATTATAAACCGCGGTTTATATTACAATGTATCAAATAAAAAATTGGGATCAACAGCTCAAGTTCAGGGTGCGGTTTATATTAGGTACATATTACAATCACTAAATGGGCGTGGTCACTTGCACAAAACAAACAATACACCGTACAATCTTTTGAATATAAGCTAACTCCAATTTAGATGTCAGGGAAGAGTGATAAGTGTCACGTCACAAAAAAACTGTTCACATGAAAAAAAAATACTCGGTATATTTAATGTAATATGCATTTTTTTTTTTTCGTAACAGAAAGTATATTCTGACAGGAGTTTCAAATAAAAACAAACATTAATGCATTGCTTAGTAGAAAATGATCATGGTACGGCCCTAAAAAAGTACGGTACCGTGGATACAGTAACGCAATCCGGCCATGCTTCGGCTCACAAGTCAATAACTTACTTGTTTTCTAACTGTTGAAATTGTTGATTATTACTCAGTAGTGATTATAACAACGCACGAAAAATAAATTCGTTGAATTGTTATCAAATGCAAGTAAAATTCAACTTACTGTAGTTTCACCGTAAGCGAATTATTTTGGTCACATTTATATGATCGATGCGACATCCGCCATGTAGTTTGAATGCACACAAGACATTACTTGACTGGGTAGGTCAAGTCGCTGATTAACCAATCAAAATGCTGGATGGTGCTCAAGTGTTCAAATTACCTTAGTTCATTTAAATATGTTAATGACAGGTCACCGACTTCATGGTGAACGAAACCCGGAAGCGATTTACCGATAATGTAGTGCGATCTTTTGGCTTTGATTTCCATGGGAAAACGACACAACCTTTTTTTTAAATCAAGAAATTAGTTGTTTTCGAAAGATGAACTGAGTATCGAAAAAGAATTTAACAGTTTTTCAGTGAGAACAGCTCATTGTCGAAAACTTGCGACACACGGACGTATTCATAAGGAGTATTGACAAAAGTTGTCACAAGACAAAAGCAGTTTCACTGCATGTTTGACATCCTAACACTACTTAACAATAAAGAGGTGTGAATATTTTTAGGCACGTTGTCGAAACAACTGAATAGGATTAGGAACAACGTACCAGCTAGTTGAAACAAAGTCGGTCACGGTCTTGTTGAATTGGGGGTGCGGTTAGTAATAGGTACTTTTCATGTTTTCAATTTTTGTTGAGAACTCTTTAACACTGAAGCCGAAATCGGGGGTGCGGTTACTATTCGGTATGCGGTTTATAATAGGCTTTTAACGGTAGTTTTTATTTCAAGAACCAGCTCATAACAAAAAATAAAAGTTAGTAAAGAGCCCAAAAACAAAACAGAAATTAAAAACAGGGTTTTGTAAAAATATCAGTAAAGACCTTTTTCTAGTAGTTGCTTCTACAATTAAACCATTCTCACTAGAAGTCAATCTTGTGTAAAAATCAATGTAGAACACTTAATAATTTAGGAACACCATTTACAATTTTAGTTTCAGAAATACTGACTGACATAAAATATAACGTCAAAATCATTGTTATAAGCAACACGCACAGCATTCAGCTTTGAAAAATATTACCCATAAATGTGAACATTACATTGTACAAAAAGTTTTATTGAAATTGCATACCAAATAGTTGGCATAAAAATATTTCATTTGACGCTTTATGTCACAACTATTAGTCACCTGTTTATTCTTTTTTTATAAATATTCTTGAGGGCTTGCGTGCAAGCTGCTGTGGAACGCCGATTGATGAGCCGGTGAAAACAGCTAAAGTCAAGGAAACAGCACAAACTCAACTTTGAAGTAATCCTGAGCAACCAAGCACATGTAGGGGTAATCTTGTTACACTGTTCAGGAGAGTCTCAACAACCATCCCAAAGTACAGTTTTCTGAGTTTTCAGCCTTTGCTTCCACTGTGATGGTTGCCCTGGCGATGCAAATGCTTGGATGTCTGCCACCGAGAATACATGAAAATCTCATTATGTAATCCTAATTTTGATTTCTCGTCCAGATTACCTCCTGAAAGAGTTCTTCCTTTTAGCATGAGGGATAATTTTTGGGAGATGGGTGACGTTGGTCCATGCGGCCCTTGTTCGGAGATACACTTTGATCGGATAGGTGGACGCGATGCTACACATCTAGTTAATATGGATGATCCGAATGTCTTAGAACTCTGGAATCTTGTTTTTATGCAATTCAACAGGTATGTGGTGTATTAAAGAAAAAGTTCTATTGTCCATTGCTATATTTATGCTAAAGTCATCTTTTGTCAACTTTTGTCAAAAAATAAACCTGTATATTTTTTTACATAAATTCTGAAAAGTTTGTAAAATTATACAAAATATTGCACTGTTATTTGGATAAATACATTTATAATTTTCAATTCAATTAATATTTTTTTTCTATACATTTGTGGAAATATTGTCTCATGGACAGTTAGTTTTTTCACATTTTTCACATTTTCGTTGAAATTATAATTTTTCTTTAATTTTCCCAAAATGTAATGTTTTTTTTTTTAAACCAAGAATTTGTTTGTTTCAAAATATGAGTATTCTAAGTCTGTCTTTTTCAAGGTTTTTACTTTTACCACTTACTGTAAGAACAACTGCACAATAATATAGAACATCTCAATTTTTTTTTTAATAAATTTTTAAAAAGCAGTGGTTGTCGCACTGCGTTCAGTACAATATGGGACTCATATCGATGTACACAGTACAAATAAATTGTTTGTTTACAAGAAATTCGAACACGCGCTACACAACCTCAACACTTTAATATTATATTTAATAAGAGGTACATTACCTGGGGTTTGCAACGTGCATAGTACTGTATGGTGACATCATGTCAAGATCCCATTCAAGTCTCATCTCGTAGATAGCGAGACTGGTGCTACGACCTTCTGACATGACATAGGCGGTTTGTAATAAAACAATAAAACATGTATTACCACATTCATGGTGAAAAAATGTAATACATTGAAAATGTACAGAAAATATAGTTATCGTAATCCGTCATATCGTGAGCAGTTATTTTGATCCACCTGGACATCCCAGTATCCTAGTTACCTCGGGCATGCGTATTCGATTTTTTCTGAGTTGTAACGCTTATGCGAGATTGAAACGGGATCTTGGTATCATGTCACCATAGTTGCAAACCCCAAGTAATGTACCTCTGATTTAATATAACTTTGTCAGTGCACTCCTTGTGCTCATATGTCTCAATGGTCAACAATATATTCCTTATATTAAAATTGCTCTAAGGCTACACCGATTTAATTTTATGGATGACATCCACGCGCGCATTAGTTTTCGCCTGTTCTCAAAAAAAAAAAAAAAAAAAAAATCTCCGACGACGAGTCTCCACAGATCGGTTTTCTGTCCGGAACTTGCCGACTCACATTGTCGCAAAGCGCCGACTTGTCCTAAAACTCGTTTTGGACTACCTCAAAACCAAACTCCGCACAGTTAGATGCGCGTTACGTAAAGCGAAAAGACCCATGGGAAAGAGATTGCCTCAAAACATGCAAATTTTGCCATAAATGATCCAACATAGCGACCACACCACCAAAATGCGTGAGCATAAAAGTTCAGAGGTGAAACGGAAGGATTGTTGTAGACTGGTACGCAATTGACGTTAGCCAGGGAGACGTTTACACAGCTATACGAAAGGTCGGTAGCGGCAAGCGAGTTTCGCCCAGACAACTTTAAGAACATATTGACATGTCCAGAGTGGCTGTCCCGCGTTTCTTCTGCAACGATGAGAGAAATGGGAGAGGAGTGGAGGTGTATGGTGGCCTAAAAGTCGGTCAGGCGACAAATCATTTCGGTTGCTTTGTCCGCATTGAAGTCGACAAAACTGCAACGAAAGCAGCAGAAGCTCCTTGGCCGAAGTCCCCTTACGGGGTGAAGAAAAGTTTCTTATTATTTTTTTTTCATTTT